TGTGTACCTGGGCTTACGTGCATGTTAAATGCTACAAGCATATGTAAGCCACTCACGCACAATACAGACGTGTTTCTCCATTACATACACGCATGCGCATCACGTGCAGACAGTGCGTGACGGATGGAGAAGAGGCGCTTCTGTTTATTAATAACTGTTATATAAGCTTACAATAATTACTGTCAATTGATGAATACCAATTAACAGTAATAATTGGTGGAATTAAACAATCGCTATTAGGTTACAACGCTTCCCGCCAAATGTAAATGGCAAACATGGCGAAAGGTGCTGAGAGTTAAACAACGTAACTTATAGAAAGGCCAGTATTTTAGATTCAACTCCTTGTTAATCAATACTAAGCAATTATTCAATTTAACATTTGTTTACAGCAAAACACTGGTTCTCGTACGATCGCTAAAGTTAAGCAACGTCAACCCTTATGATAGGTACCTCCACGAGATCGCTAAAAAAAGAGCATAGCATGATGAAAAAGACGCCAAACTTGACGAAAACAAAATTTTATCGTCTAAATGTTTGTTATTATTAAGAGGAAAGGTCAAAGTATTTCTGGGGTATTTTTTTCCATTTTTTAATCGTTCCTAGCACGTCCGGAATTTTCGTTAAAAATCTAGTTTTTTGAGTCAGCAAATTGACCATTTTTTTCCATTTTAAAAAAAATCTGGAAATCTGACTTTGAAATTTTTTAAATATCAATTATCATTTTTTCAAAACTTATTTTAAGAAAATCAGAAATTATGTTTATTTAAGATATTTTGAACCAAACTTAACTTAGCTTTTGTGCCAAAAAGATGTAATTTGAAAATAAAACAAAGCAGGTCATAAACTTTCGCGTCTCTTGACATGTGATGAATGATATATTTACGAATTCCATGAGGCTAATTTGTTCTACGGAAGGAGAAAAGTGAAATAATTTACATTTACGTGAACAAATTATTTACCCCGTTATTTTTAACGAAAACTTTCAGCGGTCTAATTTTTTTTTTTGTACTTAGCTTTCACCTTTACGTTTATGATGCTTTATGGGAAATATATTCTAAAGAAATTAAAATAAAACTGTTAAGAGGACATTAAATTTCATATTTCTTAAGAAAGGTATCTAATTTATAGGTACCTTTCTTATGAAATTTTATCAATTGTACATAAAATACTATAATTTTATGTACATTTATTACATTCTACTGTTATTTGTATTTGCATTCATTTTATTATTAATTTTGATATTTCATTTATGGAAAAATGTCGTAACAGATTAATATAAAAATAAGATCATATAAATTTCATAAGATGATACTGATACTTGTAGGTACCCTTCTCAGTTGAAATTGAAAAATCAAATTAACTTCTCCACACGTGTTTCGCAAAAGTAAAGGCCTTAACAGCGGAGAACAATGCTTAACTCAAATAACGCAACTTAATTATATTCTGGTTGGTTTTCCGTATTTTATAATTACAGCTCGATTATAAGCACAAAATTACATTTCTTAATTACTTGGTATCTTCTGATTAGTCAAAATGATACAATTTACAACGCGCTAAAAAAAGATCTATCTCATAAGGAACATTATGAAAGCCGATGCGGCTTTTAACTAATTTTATAATATTTTAACAACTTAAATGTAAAATCTATTATAATTAATGAAATAACAAATAATTGTATTAAAAATTCATTTTTCATCGAAAAAAATTTTTTGCTTTCAGAAAATATTGTCCATATTCATAAAAACAACTAAAAGCAAATAAAAGCATTTGAAATTAAATAATATCTTTGTTTTATTGAGTTTTGTATGTTACAATTCAGAGTTGATTTTCAGATACTGCGTATCCAATTAAAACAAAAAAAAACATGATTTGCATTCCTCAAAGCCCTGTGCTTTTAATTATTGTAATCACTAAAACCGATGCGATCGAATTTCTAGCGTTTTCATAAAATTAGATGGGGGGGTAATAAATATTTAAAAAAAATATTTCTACCATGACTTTCATAAAAGAAACATATTTATAATAATTTCGATCATCTGTGAATAGTTCCTGAAAGTTTCATTAACATCCGATAATTATTTCTATTTTTGCACGATTTTTCAAATTAATGTGTGTCATACCAAAAAAAACGTGCTAAAAATTGTCTATGTTATTTACTAGTTCCGCTGATACAAATAGAAAAAAGGTTTTTTTAATCAAAATTTAGAATGTTCTAAAAAGAAGGAAATTTTTTTAAAAATAATTAAAAAAAACTTTGGTCTTTCCTCTTAATAATAACATAAGCATTTAGACAATAAAATTTTGTTTTCGGCAAGGTTGGCGTCTTTTTCCTCAAGCTATGCTCTTTTTTTAGCGATTTCGTGGAGGTACCTACCTTATGAGTACCTATGTGGGTGACCGCTTGGGAATACCAGATTCTATGGGGTGTAGTTGATAACGACTCAGAGTTATTAGGTTGGTGCAAAAATAATTTCGTTTTCTAACATATGTTACTATGTAAGAAAACGAAATTATTTTTTTGCACCAACCTAATATTAACCAGAAAGCAGAGTTCCAATTCAAGTTGTTCACTTAAGCGCAAATAACCTTGGGACAGGTATGAATCAACCGCTATGGGTTAATTAGTAGGAAATGAATCGGTAAATCATTATCATCTCCAAAAACGCATTACAAAAAATATTTTCTGGCTTTAAATAACCTGAAAAAGTGTGAAACTGATTTTCACACTTTTAAAGTAAAAAAAAAAAATTACGACAAAAGAGTAGTTAAAAGAAACCGTAATAATTTCGACAATAACATTTATTAACCCTAATTGATAAGCGGACAACAAAACCCGTTATTAACTGTCTATATTTCTAAGAGGAAGTATTGCAATTATTTACATTATTTGGACTGTTCTCCACATCTTTGTTGTCATATTCATGACGTTTCGGCCTTTGTACACTCTGGCTTTCGTCAGATGATTTACAATTTTGAACCGAACCTTTTATTTCATCCACTGGGGTAGATTGTCTTAGTTCCACGTGTCATGCCTCTTCTGGATATCTCAGTTACAGTTATTTCCCTTTGTTCATCTCTGCTGTGGCCAGGTATTGAACTCGCAACTCTTTAGGTCAAGTCACTGGACTACTTCAACCAACGATTTTATCCAAGAATTCAGTTCAAAATTCCGCGTCCTGGCTATGACGATAAACTACATCCAGCAGCAAGGCCTCTGATTAGGAGGTTTTGAGGAGCGTGAAACCACCTCTGAATTGCTGGTGTTCCCAGGTACACCCTGACCCGGGGTGGTAGCATCTGTTAGGGTCCCAGGTATGGGCAAATAATTAACTTCCAAACTGGGGTGAAAACACTATGAAAGTGTAAAAATAGGTTTTTAATACCAGCAATACATTTTTCTTTTTCTTTTTTTCTTGTAAAAAAAAAAAAAAAAAAAAAAATTACCAGCAATGAATTTTTGAAGAAAAAATTTATTACCAGCAATACATTTTTGAAAAAAAAAATATTACCAGCAATAAAAATCTTCTTGGCATTAAATAACCCATTGAAGATGATATGCCGTAAAACAAACCAAACCAATCAAAATTCCAGTCATCTGAAGAATGCCGGAGCGTACAACGACCGAAACGTCGTAAATATAACAACCAAGATGGAAACAACAATGTAAATAGTATAAAAAGCGTAACTGTTGTCGGCGCTGAAAGTGGAATCGGCCCGTTCCAATTGCGGTCCCGTCAGTTGATTTCACTTTGGCGTTAATGTGCTTGGGGAGAAAGCACAAATCCTTCTCTTTTTTTTTTCCCCCTCCATCTATAAGTTGGTCTCTCTAGCCTTGGTTAATCATCAGTCTACGCGAAGGAAAACTCTGAATTCCAAGCCACAGAGAAGGTAATGAGAAAGCACTCTCTTTCTCAAGAAGTTATAGTAATTAATATACAGGGTGAACCAAAAGTAGGCTTACACATCGTAGGCATGCACTTTACATTTTTTTAAAATTTTATTACATTTATATTTATTCGTTACAATCATATTTGTTTAAAGCTGTTTATGTATATTTAACACTTGGATCTTTTTAGCACAGTTTACTCTCTTAAGTGCTCAAAATGGGCCCCGTCAACATTGCAAGATTCTTCGAACCTCTCCAGAATACTATGACAACACAGTACGACACAAATACCGATCTGCATTAATTTGAGATGTAGTTTTTTAATTCGTCCACTGTGTGGGTATTTCTCTCATAAACTTTGTTCTTTACTACCCCCACCCAAAAAAAAAGTCCATTCGTGTTAGGTCAGGTGAACGTAGTGGCTTTTCGATGCTACCCTTTCTTCCGAATCAATTCTGTGTAAAGGTTTCGTTAAGGTAATTCCTTACTGCCAAACCATAATGGGGAGGTGCTCCATCTTGCTGAAAGAACAGTTCGGCAAAGTTAGGTCTAAAATGTGAAACTTATTAAAAAGAACTGTAAGCCTACTTTTTTGTATAAAGAATTCTGTGGAGAGCTATGGTAGCGCGTGTCTTGAGGAGACGGGACATTAAAAAATGAGCTATTCTTAAAAGCAATGGCTTAAACAGATGTAATATGCAATATAAGGCTAAAACAGGAAATAGTAAAAGTGCAAAATAAGCCATATCCCTTTTTGCAGTGAAACTGCTTATTTGAAAAATGCAAATCAATTGAAATACTGAGCATTTCAACGGCGGCAAAATCACAATCGTTATGAATCTCGTTAATGTGGCGTGGATAAATTCTTTGGGTATATGGTCATCGTGTGTCCTTGTAGAAAGAGATTATATTCCAGCTTAAGTACAAATTAAAAGATGCGAATCATTTTAACTTTGATCGAAGACGAGACGACAAACTCCATTTGCTGGCGTACCGAAATTTTAACTTACGGCATGCTGGACATTAAAATAAATATCTACGACTCATATGGCTTAAATACTGGCTAGTGCTAACATTACAGTTTCAAAGGGGGAAACACCGATTGTAAAAATCTTATGGCCATTGGAACTCCGGTTCGCGTACGATCACTGAAGTTAAGCAACATTGAACCTGGTTAGTACCTACATGGGTGACCGCATCAGAATAACAGGTGCTGTAAGATTGGGTGTGCGGATGGTGTAATGGATAATAGATGGGAATTGTTAACGGGAGTGCCGAGTTCCAATTCCCGTTTGGTTCGTTATATTTATTTATGTGCTAATAATCTTGGAAAGGTATGAATTCACCTATTCTCCACCCCCCTGTTATGGGTTGATAAGTAGAACTTATATCAGTAAACTATTATTATCTACTCGAAAATTTCTTACAATCTAAAAATATCTTCTGGCTTTAAATAACCTGCAAAGGGTTGATAAGCCGTAGAATACGAATCAACCAGTTGTTAAAACAAAAGTTATGTAGTCGGCCGATAGACGTAAGCTACACTTTAATAAATAAAAATGGGACGTCTATTTCAAATACGAAGTATTCACTATAACAACATTTGAAGTTAGATATACAAAAATTGTGCAAGTAAAACAGAAGTGCTGAATGTAAAATGCAGGATTAAATAATGTTTTGTTTTTTTTTTCTTTTATTCTTCGCAGCTGCCAATTTCATGCAATTCGGTAAAATTCAGGTGGCAAAAATATGCGGAGATAACTCGTCTATAAATCCTTTTGTTTAAATGTAATGACGATTGCGAAAGTGCGTGCGTTAGACAGAATAAATACACGCGCGAGCGCACACATTTTTTCACGCTGGTATTGGAAAACTGTCATAACTAGAATATGTTAGTAAACAAAAAATTAAAGACAAAAACAAGTTAAACAAAAAAAAGCAGCTGTCTGGGCATAATAAAACTAAATCGTAGGCATTGAAAAATGTTAAAAATTAATATTCAACCACATAAATACGTTGAATGTTGACATTCGACCACGAAAATATTTTCGTCCAACATAAAAAGCAGCCCGTGGCTGTCCGAGCACTGGACATTTTTATTTTGAGATCAGTTTATATCTCCTGTTAGCCATAATAGCCCTGAAAGATTGATTTTAGTTTCACGAAGAGAATAAATTATGTAGAAGAAAAATTTAATAATTGCGATAAAGAATTTAGTCTTTTAACCCGAAAATGAAGAGAAAATGCTGGACGACCGTTCACACCAAACACCTATTTTTTATAGATCGTTTTTATGTTGTGTTTTTTTAATTTTAATTATATCCCAAAACTATAAAAATTGATATTTGAAGTCTTATAGATTATAAAAATAAAGATTATTTTTATATAGATTATAAAAATAAAGTGGGATGAGGGGGGGTATGTTTTGCATATCTCTCTATGTAGTAGTAGTAGTCATAGTACAGTCTTCCGTATCCTAAATAGCAGCTGAAAATCTTGAAATACTAAAGAGTTAATTTGTTCAATAAGATCGCCATTGGCTTCTACCACGACCTCCAGACGATATCGGAATCTCATGCAACTCTTCTGGATGGTCTCCTTGTTAAAGTTGGTGACTGATGCCATAATCTTTGCGTTCAGTTCATCTTTGTTGTTACAAGGAGTTTTTTTTTTTTTTTTTTTTTTTTTTTTTGGTCTCTCGGTGAACTGCACCCCACACATAATAATCAGGAGTGTTGCAGTCTGGGGAGTTAGGTGGCCAGATGTAAGCGGTAATGTGGTTGTAGAAATTTTCTGACAGTAATGTCTGGTTTCACCTGCTTGTGTGGTATGGTGCAGAATCTTGTTACCAGACATAGGGTCTTCCAGCAGTCACCCTCTTGACCGAACGCAGCACTACTTCCTCAAGGCACTTGATGCAGACTTCTGTGTTGAATCCGAATCCGTCAACAACACATTCGGAAATTTGAGTTTCCCGAGCTGCCCTATCTTCGTAATCACCATTTAGTCATCTGCCTCTTTCCAAATCCTCTCCACTGTCCTCAGATTGGTAAGCAGTACAGCATGCCTTTTCCAAATTTCTGGTGGAGTGAATTGTGTCGCAGTGCTCAACTGACTTTATGATGCAGTCGACAAAATCAAAAACAAACAACGCGCATGCGCGAAATTGAAAATGTAAAATTGCGATAATTTACCCATCGCATCCTGTATATACATGCCGCTGGGGATACCGCTTGTGAATCCAATATCCCCGATGAAACTTCTGTTATTAGCAGCACGTCGTTGGATCAGGCGTTAAAAAGAACCCAATGTTCCATTGGAAACGAGAGGAACTAATATATATATATATATATATATATACACACACAGACACAAAGATTATCTAGACCCAGTTATGTGTAAAATAACAGGATACACTGGATCCTATAACCTTGGGTAGCAACCAGTCTAGGAGAAGTTTACTCTGAATTCAAATGTGAAACTAACTTTGTTATGCCAGAAATATACAAGTTATACAAATATACAAGAATTTTAGAAGTCTGCAGAACTTGGGATTGTTTTCTACCTTACAGCCCCCCGCCAAGTCTATCGCTATTCCATTTGACAAGTGTTCTGACGCGCTATATTGCGCAGTTCCTACTCTGACAGCTTTTTTCCCCACGCGCCGCTACTTTTTTGAATTGACTCTCGAGATGAAGCTTTCTTTCAATTAAAATTTGCGTATCTACGATCATATTTACATTTGTTCACTTGTCTTTGTTTTTACATTTTATCTCTCTTTTTCTCTCTCTCTCTCATTTTTCTCTCTCTCTCTCTCATTTTTCTCTCTCTCTCTCATTTTCTCTCTCTCTCATTTTTCTCTCTCTCTCTCATTTTTCTCTCTCTCTCTCATTTTTCTCTCTCTCTCTCATTTTTCTCTCTCTCTCTCATTTTTCTCTCTCTCATTTTTCTCTCTCTCATTTTTCTCTCTCTCATTTTTCTCTCTTTCTCTCATTTTTCTCTCTCTCTCTCATTTTTCTCTCTCTCTCTCATTTTTCTCTCTAACATTTCCATCTCTCTCTCTCATTTCCATCTCTCTCTCTCATTTCCATCTCTCTCTCTCATTTCCATCTCTCTCTCTCATTTCCATCTCTCTCTCTCATTTCTATCTCTCTCTCTCTCATTTCTATCTCTCTCTCTCACATTTCTATCTCTCTCTCTCATTTTTTCTCTCTCTCTCATTTCTATCTCTCTCTCTCTCTCATTTTTTCTCTCTCTCTCATTTTTTCTCTCTCTCTTTTTCTCTCTCTCTTTTTTTTCTCTCTCTCTCATTTTTTCTCTCTCTCTCATTTTTTCTCTCTCTCTCATTTTTTTCTCTCTCTCTCATTTTTTTTCTCTCTCTCATTTTTCTCTCTCTCTCTCATTTTTTCTCTCTCTCTCTCTCTCATTTTTCTCTCTCTCTCTCTCTTTTTCTCTCTCTCTCTCTCTCTTTTTTCTCTCTCTCTCTCTCTCTTTTTTTCTCTCTCTCTCTCTCTCTCATTTTTTTCTCTCTCTCTCTCTCTCTCTCATTTTTTCTCTCTCTCTCTCTCTCTCATTTTTTTCTCTCTCTCTCTTTTTTCTCTCTCTCTCATTTTTCTCTCTCTCTCTCATTTTTTCTCTCTCTCATTTTTTCTCTCTCTTTCATTTTTTCTCTCTTTTCATTTTTCTGTCTCTCTCATTTTTTCTCTCTTTCATTTTCTCTCTCTCTCTTTCATTTTTTTTTCTCTCTCTCTCATTTTTTTCTCTCTCTCTCATTTTCTCTCTCTCTCTCATTTTTTCTCTCTCTCATTTTTCTCTCTCTCTCATTTTTCTCTCTCTCTCTCTCTCTCTTTTTTCTCTCTCTCTCTCTCTCTCTCTCATTTTCTCTCTCTCTCTCATTTTTCTCTCTCTCTCTCATTTTTTTCTCTCTCTCATTTTTTTCTCTCTCTCTCATTTTTTCTCTCTCTCATTTTTTCTCTCTCTCATTTTTTTCTCTCTCTCTCTTTTTTCTCTCTCTCTCTCTCTCTCTTTTTTCTCTCTCTCTCTCTCTCTCTCATTTTTCTCTCTCTCTCTCTCATTTTTTCTCTCTCTCTCTCTCATTTTTTTCTCTCTCTCTCTCTCATTTTTTTTCTCTCTCTCTCTTTTTTTCTCTCTCTCTCTCATTTTTTTCTCTCTCTCATTTTTTCTCTCTCTCTCTTTTTTTTTCTCTCTCTCTCTCATTTTTTCTCTCTCTCTCTCATTTTTTCTCTCTCTCTCTCTCATTTTTCTCTCTCTCTTTTTTCTCTCTCTCATTTTTCTCTCTCTCTCATTTTTCTCTCTCTCTCATTTTTTCTCTCTCTCTCTCTCATTTTCTCTCTCTCTCTCTCTCTTTTTTTCTCTCTCTCTCTCTCTCATTTTTCTTTCAGTTAAAATTTGCGTATCTACGATCATATTTACATTTGTTCACTTGTCTTTGTTTTTACATTTTATCTCTTTTTCTCTCTCTCATTTTTCTCTCTCTCTCTCATTTTTCTCTCTCTCTCTCATTTTTCTCTCTCTCATTTCCATCTCTCTCTCTCATTTCCATCTCTCTCTCTCATTTCCATCTCTCTCTCTCATTTCCATCTCTCTCTCTCATTTTTTCTCTCTCTCTCATTTTTTTCTCTCTCTCTCATTTTTTTCTCTCTCTCTCATTTTTTCTCTCTCTCTCATTTTTTCTCTCTCTCTCTCTCTCATTTTTTCTCTCTCTCTCTCTCTCATTTTTTTCTCTCTCTCTCTCTCTCTCTCATTTTTTTCTCTCTCTCTCTCTCATTTTTTCTCTCTCTCTCTCTCATTTTTTCTCTCTCTCTCTCATTTTTTTCTCTCTCTCTCTCTCATTTTTTCTCTCTCTCTCTCTCATTTTTCTCTCTCTCTCTCTCTCTCATTTTTTTTTCTCTCTCTCTTTTTTCTCTCTCTCTCTCATTTTTCTCTCTCTCTCTCTCATTTTTCTCTCTCTCTCTTTTCTTTTTCTCTCTCTCTTTCTCTTTCTCTCTCTCTCTCTCATTTTCTCTCTCATTTTTCTCTCTCTCATTTTTCTCTCTCATTTTTTCTCTCTCTTTCTCTCTCTCATTTTTCTCTCTCTCATTTTCTCTCTCTCATTTTTCTCTCTCTCATATTTCTCTCTCTCTCATATTTTCTCTCTCTCATATTTTCTCTCTCTCTCATTTTCTCTCTTTCTTTCTCTCTCATTTTCTCTCTCTCTCT